TGTCCTTGGGCAAGATACTGAACCCCGAATTGCCCCTGGTGGCTATTCCGCCAGTGTATGAGTGAGTGTGAATGTTAGTTTCCGTTTGAGCACTTAGGCTCAGTGTATGACTGGTGAATGCAGATGTAGTGTAAAAGCGCTTTGAGTGGTCGAAAAGACTAGAAAGGCGCTATACAAGTACGGAGCATTTACATTTACAAATTTCTCTTCTCTTCTGACTTCTAACAAACCAGACGACTACTGTTACTGTTACTATACTCTTCTTTTTTTTCTTCGTACGTTTTCAATGTAGTGACTAAACGGGCTCTGTAGAGCAGTTTGTCCGTTTGGGCTACTGTAGAATCATGGTGGAGCCGCAGTGTATGTAGATACAAGTGTCTCATTCTGAGGCAATAAAAACATTACGGTTCATTATGTAAGGTCTTTCTACACCACTGAAAACATAGTTATGTACAGGGTGTGATTTGTGTAAAAATCAGAGGGGGGATGTTTTATTTTCTTCATGAGAAAACTCCCGCCCCCCCGATTTAAAAGCCTTCACTTTCAAGAGCGTCATCATCGGCTGCCTTTCCTCCAGCACACAGCTCCGCTGCTCCCCGGAGCACATGTCTCCTGACTGTTGATAGGCCATTATTCGTGACTTGTAACCAATCAGATAGAGCCGTGGGCGGGACATTGATCAAGACTCCAGAGTGGTAATTACCCACAGACAGAGAGCGGCAGCTGGACCAGAGCAAAAGTAGAGCATTTTATAAATTCTGTCCCCACCAGGGACATAACTTATTCAGCAGAGGCAGGGATGTATAACCAGAAAGGGGAAATCCCAAACATCTTTTAGTCTGTCAGCTTCTCTTGTCTTTGCCGCTTAGTCTCTGTCTACAAGTCCAGCCTTCTAGTCCTTTCCCAGTGTTTTCTTGGGTTTTGGAATTTTGGCCTGATGTATCGGATCTTTTAGGAGTTTGTTTATTGCCTAAGTCCTTTGGATGTGTTTGCTTTTTGGACTGTCTGCCTGTTTGGCCCTTGGCCTGCCTCAGCGTGCTGTAAGTCAGGGTACTCGTACAGGGTGTTATTATTAAACCATAAAACTGAACCTGCCATGCCTCTGGTTCTGGGTCTGGGTCTGGTCCACTCCCAGGGAGGTCATGCAGAGACACCCCCTCCCAATGAAAGGCTTCCTAGAATATAAACATTTTTAATGGTTTCATTTCTAAACCTTGACCTCACAATCCTCTCTAAGAGTAGAGTAGATCAAGACTTTATCATCACACTTGAACTTTAACCTCTTGCTGAGCTCTGTTTCCATTCAGGCTGATGGGTGATTTAGAAAATGAATTTAATTCCTTTATTTACATTTATTCATTTAGCTGACGCTTTTATCCAAAGCGACTTAAACGTGTTATATATGACAGAGGTCGCACGCTTCTGGAGCAACGAGGGGTTAAGTGGTGGATGGGTCACAGTGGGGAGTTGAACCCAGGTCTTTCACACCACAGGCATGAGTCTTATCCACTGCACCATCACCCCCTATTTGTCAAAAAAACACAATAATGCTTCAAATACAGTCATTGCAGTCACTATATAAAATGAGTATAAAAATAAATAGAAACTTTTTAAACTTACATACCCCCACTTCCCCATCTCCACCCACTACCCATAATGCTCCTGTGAATCCTCCCCCAGTGTTTCATTAGCAGCTGGAACCACAGTGACTCTGATAAAACAGGAATTAGCAGAATCCATCTGATATGAAGCTGTGGTTTGAATACCACTTCCCTCCTCTTTGAAGAGTAGTCAGATATCTGGGTTCAGGTTTTTGTACAGCCTCTTCTACACTTTGTATCACTGTGTTTCTAGAGCACAGTAGTAGAGAGCTGTGTCTGCCAGGGTTAGATCTCTGATGGTCAGTGTAGTTGATGTTGCTGATGTTTCAGATTCATATCGTTCATCAGGAATATGTTCACTACCACTCTCTGATTTTGCTCCTTTCCAGAGTATAAACTGAGGTGCCTGAAGGTCAGAATGATGTCTGTACCAGTGAAGGCGAATATTAGTAGCTGTTGTCTGATAGTTGCATGTGAGTGTGACAGATTGTCCTTCTCTTTCACTGACTTCCTCTCGTTCAGGAGAGATTGTGTCTCCAGCTATTAGTCCTGGAAAAAGTAGAGCAAATGAAGCCATTAGACTAACATTGTTCATGAGGCTGAGAGGAGAAGACAGTGGAAAATGGCAGCTGTACAGTGTTACTCTGTGGACACAAACGCTCCAACACTCACCTATGAAGTGAGAGCAAAGTAAAAAGAGGTAAAGCAACATGTCTTTGGAGTTGTTAAAGCCAGACAGACAGCAGATGAGCAATGTTCTTCCACTGCAGTAGAATGAAGAAACTAAACAGCCTCTCTGCTGCACAGCCCTTCTCCTCAACATCAAGCTGATTGTGCTTTTAGTTCCTCAAACATTTCTGCTCTGGAGACGCAAAGAATCTCATTGGTTGAGTTGGACTTCAGTGGGCGGGCCTGTTTTTGAACCACCAACGTTAAAGCTATAAAATATTTGTGCGTCCAGCAGATGTTTGCTTCTGGGAAATGGATCAAACTGAAACTGCAATGTACTGTCATCATTGTTGTCCACACTGGAGAATGTGATGAAGGAAAAAACAGTAATAACATACAGCAAGGGTCGGCTATTAAACTTTGCATTGGAGCAGTTTATTCAACCGTTAGTTTGTGGGTGAGAATATGACATAATATTTGAAGTCATTGTTATGGTGTTGGGTTAGCTAGGTCGGTAAGGTGTAGGACTGTCACTCTCCTCAACAAATGGATTCTGCAGCGAATGTTTCTCCGATCACAGCGTGTGCTGCAGTGTTTTTGTTTTGGGGTTTGATCCTCATCCATCAACCTGGACTGGACTGTCCACCTGTTTAGACCTTGGCCTGCCTCAGCTTGCTGTAAGTCAGTGTACTCTTCTATTATTAAAACCATAAACCTGAACCTGCCATGTGTCTGGTTCTGGGTCTGCCCACTCACTTGTGTTCCATCACCCGCTTGAACTTACTATGACACAAGGATATTGTCTCCGTATGTTCCCTTGACTACTAGAATTTTGTGGAAAAGTTCATTTTGTTCTGTAATTTAAGTCCAAAGTTAAACTTTCATGTATTGTAGGTTAATTACACGTAAAGATAAACTTTTCAGGCCTTTTTTAAAATCTTGAAGATATCTCACAGCTAATTACATGCTATTATGCACAGCAAATAATGAATTGTGGACCTGAGAAGAACCTTTGCCTGGTTCAGACGTCTGACTTGACAGTTGTCCAGAAGACACTCATTGTCCACAAGGAGCCACAGAAGGTCACTGCTGAAAGGGCTGGCTGTTCACAGAGAGCTGGATCAAAGCATGTTCGTGGAAAGTTGACTGGAAGGTTAAAGTGTGGTAGGAAAAGGTGCACAAGCAACAGGGGCGACGAGGAGCTTCACAGGGAGTGGACTGAGGCTGGAGTCATCGAGATCCACCAGGCACAGACGGGTCCAGAAAATGAGCCTCGTGTGTCGCATTGCTAGTGTCAGGCCACTCCTGAACCAGAGATAGTCAGAAGAGTCTTACCTGGGCTAAGGAGAAAAAGAACTGGACCGTGGCTCAGTGGTCCAGAGTCCTCTTTTAGATGAAATCCAGGTCCCAGAGTCACAAGTGGAGAGACACAGAATCCAAGTTACTTTAAGTCCAGGATGAAGTTTCTTCAGTCAGTGATGATTTGGGTGCCATGTCGTCTGCTGGTGTTGGTCCACTGGGTTTTATCAGAAAAATATATTAAGAGTCACTTAAAGTTATTAATTATCAATATGTGTCTTATTTGTCCTCAGGACTAAAATGTCAAGTTGTATAAACCAGTTTATATTTTAGGAATAAAACAGCAGTGGAGAGAGAGGACGTCCTTGGTGTTTGTCTCTCAGTTTGTAGAAGTTTAAGTATTTGTTGTGTGATTCTCTCTGAAAGTTTAACAGTGTGAGACTCCCTCTAGTGGACGTTGCAGAGTATTCTGTTGTCTTTGCTCCAAAGGTTTTTGTACAGAGTTTTGGTGTTTCCTGTCACTGTGGGCCGCAGAGCACAGTAGTACACAGCAGAGTCAGACAGCTGAAGCTTCTGGATCTTCAGAGGAACTGATCTTGAGGTGGAATCCAGTGTGGATGAAAATCTCTCCTTGTACTCGTCCTCTGTTTTCCCCTCACCGATCTTAAAGCGGCTCAGTATGAATTCAGGGCTGTTGTTTCCATCCTGTTTGTACCAGAAGAGATAATCATTTGATGAACTGCTGTTATATAGACAGCCAAGTGTTACTGTCTCTCCTTCAGCAGCAGTCACGTCTCCTTCTGGTTGCAGCACGTTGTCTTTTTGTGCTCTGCATTCTGTAAAACAGCAACAAACAGTATCAGTGTGCTGTTAAAGAATCATGTCAATGTTGGATTGATATCAGAGAACCAGAGTTGTGTTCATACCAAGGCACACAGCAGCCAGCAACACTGAGATGAACAGAGGCGTCATATCTGCAGTGTTGAGGAACTGTGAGCTCCAGCAAGTATAAAGAAGGCTGTGATCTCTCTGTTTAGTCTTCATCAACACTAAGTTGGTGGATTAGAAGGAGGAGCCTGATCACAGTGACGGGGCTCATTCACAGCCCTGTGTTATTCCCCGACTGACAACTTTACACTCAACACATTTTCCTCACTCTCTCCTTTCCTAGTGTGACAATTAGGATCAATTAGTGAATGTTTTTAATATGGTATCAGCATCATATTAAAGGCCTGTCAGTTTGCCAGCCTGTCCACAGCTTCTCCAGATAAAGGGCTAAAATATGAAGCCTGTTCAGAACACATAAGGATCTCCAAAACCAGCTCGGTGGTGTCGACCATTTCAAACAGGATGTTCCACTGAGAGCGAATGGTTAAGAGCTGCTACCACCAGTTTACCACAGTGAAAGCAGAGGCTTCAGCAAACACTCCCTCACTCCCACAATGGGGCAGTCACGTCCTTTCTAGACTCTTCCAAGGGCTGATTTAGGTGCTTCCATCTCTGGAGCTGCCGCATTACTGACAGTGAAAGCAGAGATGTTTGTGTTAATTATGGTTGGACATCTCCCCCTCTAACAAATGAAGGCAGTCTGTGCAAACATGGAGCTTATTCTGTCTCCAAACACTGGTGTGAAACTGGTCATGACTCAGGCTTTGGAGTGAAACATTAAGGTGTTTGTCCATCCTTGTCTGGATGTGAAAGTGCAGTGGGACTCTGGCCGACGTTACATACCAGCTTATTATTAAGTTATGAAACTTACAGTCCATAATTTATTGTCAGATGTATTTGAACTTTTTCTTTAGTGAGTCTTCTGATATAAAGAATCGAGTCAAGACATCTTTAAGTATTTTATTCTTTGCTTGAGAGCAGGCTTTGGATGCAAAGCGGCTAAATGGTTCCACAGTTACCTGACCATTGTACAATTGTTAAACATGGCAACAACATCTCAGATCCAGTCCTTGTTAGGAAAAGTGTTCCACAAGGCTCAGTTTTGGGACCCTTGCTTTTCCTAGTTTACATTAATAATGTTTGTGATGTTTAAATTCTGGAAGGATCATCTGTATGCAGATGAGACACTTCTGTACTCCTGTGCCCCCACAGCAGAGTTTGCCTTTTCAAATGTGCAGGCAGATTTTTATACCCTGCAATATGCTCTGTCAGATTTGAAGATGCTTTTAAATTCCCACAAAACTAAAGTTATGATTTTTGCCACTGGGCGAACAAAGGTACCACCCCTCTCCATCACGACCCTGTATGGAGTCTGTATCCAGTCTGTTGATAATTACAAATATCTGGGTATCTGGTTTTACAAAAAACCTAAATTTTAAATACCATGTTGATTATCACGTTGACTTTTCTGTATAGGTGAAAGTCCTGCTTTTCCATGGCTTTAGAAAAACACTTAGTTGCTGGCCTTTTTCCGCCACAGATTGATTATAGGGACACTACCTACAGGTTTGCCTCTCTGTCCACCTTGTCCAAACTTGACCCCCTTTATCACTCAGCTCTCAGATATACATCATTGTATATTGGACAGACTGGAAGGATGGTCATCCCTTCACTTGCAAAGATATGTTAGGTAGACTTCCAAATTATTTAAACAGGACATTTTTAACTTTACAAAGCAGTCATAATCTCAGGTCACAAATGGGCTACAGTTCAAAGTGCCTGCTATCAGAACCAGGGCAGGTACTCAAAGTATAAAAGGGGCACATGGAACAAGGATTTAAATAGGGCTGTTCTCAAAATATTGATACAGAAATATATCGTTATGTATTCCTTGCTGATATGCGTATACTGATGCTTCTGTATTGATACATCAGCGAATGGTATGACACAGTTTTGAAAAAGAAACACAGGGAATACCCAGCTCTTGCTTTAAACACTGTGGGCTGTTGATGGTGTTGCTGGGGATGTTGCTGCTGATGCTGTTGTTGTTGCTGCTGATACTACAGGTGGTGATCTGTGACTATCGATATTATAACAAACTTAGGAGATATTAGCTGATTAAACAAATATGTGACCATGACAAGATGTAAAGATTGCTGACAGTATTTGGAACTGGCTCACAGTGACTGACCTGCTGTAGTGCTGCAGCCGCTGCCAAGGCTGACTGCTACGATAAAATAAGAGGGAGATGCTGAAGAGAGACTGCTGAACACCAAAAGCTGCAGGTAGAGGAAATAAGATACCAGGTTCAAAACTGTGTGGGAAATGATCTGAGAAGGATACAGTACTGGGAGAAAGGACGAGGTCGGCCAAGGCAGGGTTAAGAGTGAGACAAATCTATAGACAGGTGTGTGCGTGTGTCTATAGGCAATATTTTGATAATGATATATTTCACTGTGACATTTGAAATTCTTTATTACATTTATTTAATCTTGCTTTAGCATATAAAAAGCATTCAAAATATATTTTCATGTCTGCCATCTCCTTTTACATGTTGCTACATCGCGAACCCCATTACCCATAAACGTGAAATAAAAACAAATAAAAAAAACAAATAAAGGAACAATTACTAAAATAACTGACAATGAAAATAATAATAATTTGAAAACCTTTCAAAACAATTATTATATTTGATTCTATTCTGAGTTTCCACTGGTTGTCCTCTGTTCGTGGCATCCATCTATCTCTCACTTTCACTATCTCTTCTTCACTACCTCTTTCACTGGCTCTGTCTTTTACTATCTCTATCTTTCACTATCTCTTTCACTATTCTTGTTCACTATTTCTTTTATTATCTCTTTCACTATATCTTTCAATATCTCTATCTCTTAACTATCTTTTCTGTATCTCTTCACTATCTCTTTCACTATCTCTTTCACTGTCTCTGTTTTTAACTATTTCTCCTTCACTACCTCTTTCACTATCTCTTCAGTATCTCTTTCCCTATCTTTTTCACTATTTCTCATTCTTTCATTATCTCTTTCACTATATCTTTCAATATCTCTATCTTTTCCATATCTCTTTCACTATCTCTATCTTTAATTATCTCTTTCACTCTCTTTTTCACAGTTTCTGTCTTTCACCATGTCTATCTTTCACTATCTCTGTCTTTGACTATGTCTTTCACTTTCTCTGTCTTTCACTATCTCTTTCACTCTTTCACTATGTCTACCTTTAACTATCTCTGTCTTTCACCATCTCTTCAATATCTCTTTCACTATCTCTGTGTTTCACTGTCTTTTTCACTGGCTCTTTCTTTCACTATCTCTTTCACTGGCTCTGTCTTTCACTAGGTCTTTGTTTCACTATCTCTTAAGTATCTCTCTTTTACTATCTCTATCTTTCACTATCTCTTTCACTATTTATCTTTCACTGTCTCTGTCTTTCACTATCTCTTTCACTGGCTCTGTATTTCACTATCTCTCACCCAGAGCCTTAAAGCCAACCAACCCCGTGACATTGCAGGTTATAGTACTGCACAATGGTGGCGCCCTTTCTGTGAAAGATATGACAGTTCTTCTTTTCTTTTGTCTTTTATACGTTTACATTTGTCATGTTTCTTGTATAATTGTCGATCGTAGTGGAAATCCATTGTGTAAATGATGTAAACTTGATTGACTGCTTCATTTCCCTTTAAGGTCTCAATGCCATCATTGTTCCAAACAAGTACAGTTTTACTTGTGCTGTCCTGCTTTTGAGCAGGGACTTGTAGGTGGGAATTAAACGGACATTATGGTGAGAGGTGCAAATGGGGGTTTAGTATTACAGTCTACATATTGCTTCAAACCAGGCAGCACAGCTTAAAGCTTGCAATGGTTACAATCACCAAGCATTTCAATTGTCTGTGAAAACAATCTGCTGGAGTACTATTGGAGATACTTTGAAAATACTATGAACATATTCAAGTTCTGTTATTTGTTTATTGTGTTTTATCTGTAGCGCTTCATTTAATGTTGCTTCTATCACCACTAAAACAAATCCTGACTGTATCATAAACCACTGAAGTTTAACAGTGTGTGACTCCCTCTAGTGGACATTGTGGAGTATTCTGTTGTCTTTGCTCCAAAGGTTTTTGTACAGAGTTTTGGTGTTTCCTGTCACTGTGGGCTGCAGAGCACAGTAGTACACAGCAGAGTCAGACAGCTGAAGCTTCTGGATCTTCAGAGGAACTGACTTATCCTTGATTGTAGCATTAAATCTGTCTTTCGTGAACTCTGCATCAAAATCTGTTGTTTTTGAGTAACTTTTCAGCATGTACTTAGGAGACTCATTTACTTCTTGTTTGTACCAGAACAAAGTTGGACCTGTGTAACTCGTCTCAAAAGTACAGCCAAGTGTAACTGTGTCTCCTTCAGCAGCAATGACATCTCCTGCTGGCTGGGTCACTCTGTCTTCTCCTTTACACTCTGGGGAAGAAGAGAACATGCAGAGGAAGAGATGGATCAATAAAGATGATTGATTAAAGGAGAACAATCAGTAGGTTTAAAGAGTTACCTAGCCAGAGAGTCAGAATCAGGATGTTTCTCAGCCAGTGGTTCATGTCTGCAGTGAGAGGGGAGGAGAGAGAGGAAGAACATTGATACTCTGATGGATCTGGGCCTTCACATCATTGGCCCTTCCTCTTCATCATCTGTTGAGGAACTCTCAACATTTACATCTCAGCTGTTTAGCTGATGCTCTTATCCAGAGCAGCTCATAATGAGGAGCTTTAACATGTGAACTTTCTGTTACAACAAAGTCTCTTTAACCACTTTTCACCCTGGAATAGTTAATTCATCAACATGGGTCTGTAATCATTTTAGTTTGTCTCATCATCAGTGATACCAAAGCATTCTGTGTAGAAGAAGACTTCCTTGTGGAGTGCCTTACTGTACAGAAATAGCCTCAATTAAACACCATGATCTGGATTAACTGTGTTTTATTAATAACAGGAGTAATATTGTAACTTGTCATTAGATTGTGTTGTCAGTGTCCACTTGGTGGCGCTGTTGTTCAGTAAAAGGAGGAGCTGAAGTGAGTAAATCTTCAGAGGAGCTGTCAGGTTTTTGTACAGAGTTTTGGTGTTTCCTGTCACTGTGGGCTTCACAGCACAGTAGTACACAGCAGAGTCTGTCACTGCAGCAGAGGAGATCTGCAGATCCATTTGGGTTTTATCATCACTCACTTTAGCAGACCATCTAGAGTTTGTTGCATTTTGTGTTCCAAAGTGAAAGATGAGGAACTCTGGTGGTTTTCCTGGATATTGTCGATACCAGAAGAAATAATCAGTGCCATCAGCTTTTTTAGAGTATGTGTAGGACAGAGTAACAGAGCTGCCTTCTAAAGTGAACTCTTCATTCCTGACTGCAGTGAGTTCTTCACAGCTGACACCTGAAGGAAGAGATAACTCTGTTATTTCATGTTGTAAAAGACTCAACAAATGAATCCCATCCAGAAAAGTTAGTAATGAAACTTTCTCAGCAGGATCTCACATACCTGTTAGAATGGATAGTAACAGTAGAGAAAGTACATAATAGTCCAATGACAGCATGTTGAATAAAGGGAATGTTTCTGCTTTGTGTATTGAACTCTGCTGAATATGGAAGTTCCTCTCTCTTCTATAGTTCACTAACAGCTTAGCTCCTCCCTCAATCTCTCCGTCTCCTCGCAGCTCTGGATTTTCACTTCTCTCTGTTCCACTTCCTACCTTACCAGTAAATTCCACAGGATGTGAAAGTTTTTGCTTTATTTTCTGTAAATGAGACGTAGGTAACACTTTATTTTAAGGTGCTTGTAATAGGCAGTAATTAACAGTTAATAAGACACTTATAAGACCTTATAGGATGCTTATAGACAACAATATAAGTGTTAATTAAAGCCTAATAAACTATTAATTGATTAATTATTGCTTATAAGACAATTATAGGCCTTTATTAGAGCTATAAGTTATATATACCTCATGAATGCGAGATTGGACATCACATTGTAATTTGCACTCCTAATACAGCTACCCTTTATACTTCAGTACATTTCTTATTTTCTTAGACAACTAAGATGGTTTGTGAAGGTTTTATCTTGTTCCTGTCGACTTTAAATGTGTATTTTATGACGATAAAATGACAGTTAATTTGAATAGAGTCTGGTGGGTTTGGCGATTTCAGGGATGTTTCATGTTAAAACAAAACGGATCTTACTCTTTAACAAAAGCTTGACCTCAGCTGGGATCCTTTCCATAATGTTGTCAGACACTAAGAATAATTATCTGAGCGTGTCAGTGGCAAAACAAGCACGTTATGGATGGAAACTGAAGGTGTGCAGCGGCATATTAATGTTACATTGTAGCTTGTTTCACGCTGCCACTGCAGCCATCTCTTGGACCAATTTCTAATGTCCAGGTTGAGAGAAAACACCCTAAGACATTATTCAAGCTGCTCTAAAAATCCAAGTGCTAATGTTAGCTTACACGACATGCCTTATTTTATAGCTGCATGCTAACATTAGCTTAAACTACACGCCTTATTTTATAGCTGCATGCTAAAGTTAGCTTAAACTACACACCTTATTTTATAGCTGCATGCTAAAGTTAGCTTAAACTGCATGCCTTATTTATAGCTGCATGCTAAAGTTAGCTTAATCTACAAGCCTTATCTTATAGCTGCATGCTAAAGTTAGCTTAAACTACATGTCTTATTTTATAGCTGCATGCTAAAGTTAGCTTAAACTACATGCCTTATTTTAAACGACATGCCTTATTTTATAGCTGCATGCTAATGTTAGCTTAAACTACATGCCTTATTTTATAGCTGCATGCTAAAGTTAGCTTAAACTAAATGCCTTATTTTATAGCTGCATGCTAAAGTTAGCTTAAACTGCACGCCTTATTTCATAGCTGCATGCTAAAGTTAGCTTAAACTACACGCCTTATTTCATAGCTGCATGCTGAAGTTAGCTTAAACTACATGCCTTATCTTATAGCTGCATGCTAAAGTTAGCTTAAACTGCATGCCTTATTTATAGCTGCATGCTAAAGTTAGCTTAATCTACAAGCCTTATCTTATAGCTGCATGCTAAAGTTAGCTTAAACTACATGTCTTATTTTATGGCTGCATGCTAATGTTAGCTTAAACTACATGCCTTATTTTAATCTACATGCCTTATTTTAAACTACATGTCTTATTTTATGGCTGCATGCTAATGTTAGCTTAAACTACATGCCTTATTATCCAACGAAGGTTAAAGTCAAGGGCAACTGGACTTGGTTGAAGATACTGGAAGACGTTTCGTCCCTCATCCAAAGGACTTCTTCAGTTCTGACTGACTGGCAGGGAAACTCAGCTATTTAACCTCAGTGGGGTCGTTATCCCGGGTCATCGATACCGCTGGTTCGTTAGTGTTCCTTGTCGTTAAGCTCTCTCTACATCCTGTTGTTATAAATCATTTTTAAACCCATCTCTAAGCTGCCATTTCCAAAGAAATCATTTGAGTGGAGTCAATATTTCCTAAAATCTTATATTAATTTTAGGAAATATTGTGTATATAGTATGTAGCTGTAGTACCGGAGGCTGCAGTTTCAGGACCCTTGTTTACTTTGATACTGCCAGCTGGCTTTGTTACACTTGACAGCCCACCGAAGCCAATTACCCTTACCACAACCATCACAGAGTGTCTGCCTAAATTTAAATTATTAATTATGTGCATGTCGACCGGTTAACCCTACAGCTCTGGACATCAGCCTCACGGCCAACGTGCTAGCAGACAGCGTTAACCTCCTTCATGTTGCTGTGGATTACCACCACCACTCCACTAGATGGCGCTGTCGCAAAATAACTGAGGCCCTGGGATTGCAGGGGTCCTGAAACTGCAGCCTCTAGTACTGCATGCAACATAATATTGATTCAAAGAGGTCCAGTTAGAGAAATTTCACCAAGCAAACATCCGGAACATCAACTTGCATTATCATTCAGTAGCTATCACAACGTATGGCCTAGCTGTATCACATATATAACATATTTACTGTCAGTTTTTACATAAAACTGAAGGGATAATAAATAACTAATAATAAATTCTAAATTGAAGTAATCTAAAGTCTAAATTTAAAAAACGTTTTTGTAAATGTGCATCTTAATATAAATTAATTTTATTTGTTGCTCAATTCAGTTCAGAAAAACAAAATTAACTAAAGTGTAGCTTTGAGTGATCAAAGTGTAGTCTCAACCAAAATTATAATTAACACTCAACACATCTTAACAAACATCCCTGTGACGTCACAGGGATGAAAGCTAAACGCGCCTCATATAACGCTCGCCAAGCGGCGACTCGGACACGCCCTCAGAAACAGCGAGCTGCAGCACACAGCTCTCCTCTCCCTTCCAAACACTAGCTACCCTCCAGGCAGTCAGTGGACAGAAAGTTGTTCCTGTGATGTAGAGACAGAGCTCAGTTAAAACTTTATGGATACAGATTAATAACTCACCGCTCTGAAACTCTCGCTCCAGTCCATGTTGCCAAGCTGGTCGGCAACACGTACGGCTGAACCCGAGCTGTTTACCGGCTTCTCGCTGACCCACCCTTCTCTGCTTCTGATTGGCTAGTTGGTTTTGAACTGCCCGTAGGAAGAATGTACATGTGAGACTCTGTACATTCTTGGTTAAAAGCCGTGTGAAGTCTCTTTTCTCTTTCGTCTCATCTCTTCCTCTCTGTATCTCACTCGTGGACTCTGCTCGCAATGCTTATCAGAATGGACAGATTTGATTGGCTGAGCAGCATCACATGAGCTGATTGGAACACATGCAACTGAATACACAGCTGGCCAATCACAGCGCAGAATAGGACTCGCTCTAACTGAAGTCCGACACTAACTATAATGTAAAAAGAGTTATGCTGTATTTTTCTAAGATATGATATATCTATGATTTCTAAACATAATTTTAGTCCACAGAACGTTCTGCTATGGAACAATAGATTCATGTTGTGCAAAAGAAAATCTATATTTATGGACGACTGGATGGAGAAACAAATATGGTCAATTGTTGGATATATAAAGTTGGATATAATCTGGATTGCTGAAGGTGTCATAAAACATTCCCATGGCTCTTATTCAGTTAATTAAAAATAATGTAGAAAACACACCGACCTCCAAAGTCCAAAATATAAAGATAGGCCAAGTTGACTTTTTAAACCAAAAATGTAACAATGCCTTCCTGAGGCAACATCTGTAGAATACAATGTAACCTGGCTTCACAAGGAGAACTTCAAACCCTGAAATATCAGCTATTAGAACAAAATATCTTTAATTTCCACTTCTTCCTAAAAACAAAGAAATGCAGTTTAAAATTCTAAGATTGAAATGTGATGTAGAAAACTGTCACCTATGCAACACAAATGTAGAAACAACAGAGCACATTTTTTATGTTTGTGACTAAAGTTTATGGAAATCCTTACATGACTGGTGTAATGGAAATTTGTCCTTTAGTGAGTCTTCTGAAATGTGAGATGAATGAAAAAGATTCCAATCCAGACGAGTGTGATCATTTGAATGGAGACACTTTTCTCAATAGCTCCTAC